GGGAGGTGGCTGAAGCAGGGGTTGATCTATTTATCTCCTTGGAGGAGTTGCACACACCAAGAAAAGGAACTCTGCAAGTTCCTGCAGACTCTTGACTTGAAAGCCTTCTTTTGTGCTGTGCAGACAACTCTATACAGAAAAAGCTCAGTTTTTCTTCTCCATCCTCCTCCACAAGGCTCTTAATAGAAGTAGTGCAAGCTAATTTTTCCTCTAAACCAAAAAGTTACCCCCAGGAGCTCACTCCTATCTTGCATACCCTGAGATGCAGGTAAGTCAGCTATGCCAGAAGAAATCATTTAGGGATGAGAATGCTCTTTTTCCAGTCCGCTCTCCACAACCATCTGAGTATTTCTCCTTATTAAGGGTGTTTAGCCATGCATTTGATTAACTGTTGCAGTTGTAACAAGGGTTTCAAGGCAGGCTACATCTTCCACAAATTTATGAGTTATTTCCCGTCTGGTGGGCTGCAGGTACCAGCAGGCAATTCACAGCCTGTCAGAGGAAAACAGCGACAGCTCTTCCTGCCCAGCCCTACACGCCTCAGCAACTTGTCATGCTTGAGAGGCTCACGGATGTGCACCCAGAACATACTGATTGCTTGAGGTGATCGCTTCATTCACTAGGATGAAGTAGGACAGCTGCTACACATACACTAAATGCCATTCTCCCACACTTCTTTGGTTTTAAATCTTTATGCCACTGAAGTACTAGTACAGAACTTTGCCTGTTTCATGAGTCCTTTGTGTGGTTCTGATTGCGCATGGATGGGGTGGGCTTCAGCTGATGACAGTTTGAAGAGACTGACCTCACAGCTTTAGGAAGTGACAGAAACCTGCCTGACCCAACGCTACAGTGCTGCTCTCATCTAGTACAACCTCCAGTTAAGCTTAATCTTGATCATACCCATTGATGTTAAATTAGTACTTGGACAGCAAGGCTTGGAGGTAACATCTGATAAACCATGACTGCAAGACAAGACATTGACTATCTAAGAGACCCTTACTCCTGATTAGCCCAGCTTGTTTGCTCTTGATGCAGGAAGATGTCAGTATAGTTGCACAAACCTGTATACATGCACAGCATCCAATGTTATAACTAACTACATGAGAGAGCAAAGCAATTTTTCCCCCATAAAAGTTAATCTAATAGAAACTGGACGCACACAAACCCTTATGAAACATGTAGATTCAAATACAAGAGGACAGCACAGATAGCACAGAGGATGGAAAGGCAGAAGCTGCATCCTCAGTTAGAGGAAATGCTGACCTGTCTGAACAGATCTCTTCTGCACAATCTCAACCACTTCATTTGTGACTACAAACACCTGACAAATCTTTTATGAGCATACTCCACTGCCATCACCTGCCTCAAACAGATCAAGCTCAGCTGAGATGAAGGACAGAAATACAGTAATGGTCTCAAGCCAGGCAGGTTAACTCTTTCAGAATATTGATCTGGTTCAACAACCTAGCCTCTGAAAAGGCAACATCCCAAGTTCCTGACACCACTCCAGCATTTAAGTCATGCATACTTTAGTCTCCTCACAGGTTCCCTCTATTACCTTAGTTCTCATGCAGAGAATTACTTCCCTATCTGTCCAACTCAGCTGCTTCACCTGTGGAACTGCCAACATTTGGCACAGCCACAAAGACTCTGCTCTGAAGCAGTTCAGTTCATAACACCAGTGTGAAGTGACAAGGGTAGTCTATGCTTGTAATGACAGAAAGCCAGAATCCATACAAAGCACTAACTAAATTGAGCTTAAAAAGGCAGGGCAGAATTTGGTTTCTGTGTTTGGCAGTAGTGTAACGTCACTCTGAACATAAATGTTAGTAAGGTCACTACTGGAAAGTAGAGACTTTTTTCTACCTATCAACTGTTGAAGTTGCATTACTTAGTGTGTGATAGGTTTCCATGTTCTGCGTTACCATTAGACACCTTTAATAGAAATCCCTCCTTAAAAGGTAGATATTTGATGAATGCTTTACAAGAGTTAGAACACCAAACCACCACAAGGTTCCTTTCCTTCCAAGGGAATTTTGAACACTCAGAACTCCAAACTCCATTTAACTGCCCATTAAAGTAACAGAACATTTGGCGAGTCCCAAGTTACTCCCTGCCTGTTGATGAATATTTTTCTAACCAGTCCTATCATTTCAGCATTACATCTTCAGCTACAAGAACTATTAAGCAAAGCCCCAACCCTCCATACAGGGCACACATCCACTCCAAATACCAGCCAATAAAAACACTAAGATCTTCAGTTAAAAAAATATCATTTAGTGCATTATTCATCCTGCAGTGTTAATCTGAACCTTCTCCTCTCATTCTTGGATCCAGTCAAAGGTTATTTAGAAAACTCCTGCCACTTATCTTTACATACAAAACTTTTGCATGAACAACATGTACCTCATTTCATAGTTAACAAATGTCATCAGGTGATTTAAACTATTTGGACTGTTCTACAAAGGTTCTACAAAAGCATCAGCATACTCTAGAATTGGTAGAATCCAACTCACATATTGTGGAAACTAATATACAAGAAGTACAGAACAAGTCTCTGGTGTTTAGCATGGTGAGGGACTAACTTAAGCAAATGTTTAATTGATTTCAACAATAACTTCAACTTTTTCTTGCCTAGAAGGACTTTGCAACTAGCTACGACAGGAAGCTGGGAAGTGTACCTACAGTAGGTGTTAGTAGATGTCCCTGGGTGTGCGAGCCTTAAATAAAACAAGGCTAAAGGTAGCTTCATACAAACTTATAAATATAGCACATTCATTTCAGACAGAAAATACAGAAATGAATATCAAATGGCAAACTGAAGGAAAAGCTCTCCCACAGAGGTTTGTAGTCAAGATGTACCTGCGAAAGACTCCCTTGTGCTTTATCAACTATTTTTAACTTAAGACTCTTACAGAAGACATATCAAATTCTGCTCCATCCTGGACATAGCATGTTGTGTTACTTGTATCTCAGGAATATTAACAAAATTAACTATAAAGGAAGTAACTGCATGTGGCTCCTTCCTTGAAGGAGGTATCTTCTCATTTCTTAGCCCATTTCCCAACACAGGGCACCTCCTAAGGCCTTACACAAGAGAGGGTCTCAGCTCTTCCAACACCACCACCTGTTGATTACAAATACAATAACTTCATAGATCACATACTGCACCTTCCAAACTGCGGTGCCCTTACTATAGGCTGAGGAGCTGCTAAGTGGTGCTGCAATGTCTTAAGTCATCGCTGGTAAAGCGTGATTTCTCTGGTGGTCAGTATTCACCACCATCATGTACACTTCCCAATACTTACACTACATGGTGAACCCCAGACAAACAGAGCAGGAAATGTGAAGAACTCCCAGCCACATGGCTGTCTTGGTTACACCAGCAATTCATTTTCTGAAGCCACTAGAAGACCAGCAATTAGAAAACCTGACTGAACAAATACCCCTGCTTATGTGAAACTGTAGTTTCAAAGATGTTAAGAATGATGCACTCAAAGCACAGCTCTGGATAAGAAATGTAACTTCATTTCTTAATTATTTTGTGTAGTCAAAGCTGTGTTATACCAAACCAGGACATCTTTTCTTTTAAGTACCTACTCAAGTTACACTTCTGTTTGCCCTTTGTGAATTACCAGTCTTTCCCCTTATCAAGCTAGCACACAGAGAAACCAAGTCAGAGACTTCGAAAACAATGGCTCAAAATGAAAAAAGAACTGGCATTAGCAAGCTGCAGAAAGAAACGAATTCTTTTTTTTCATTTCTCTAACAAATGGTGCTTCATCAGACTAGGTTTCTTTGGGGTGGGGCATAAAAAAATAAATAAATCACACAACCCAGTGTACAGGCTAAGCTCAGAAGCAAAGCTTTAATCTGAAGTCTTCCTTTCAAGGAAAAGTATTTCATACACTCCAGCTTCACACCCTTACAGCCAATATACCTACTAGACCAATGCACTGCTGCAGGCAGAATGCTCTTCAGTGGAACTCACGAGTTCCAGCTTGAGCCAGCAAGAAGCAAGAAGTGTTCCTGACAGTACATCCCATAGAAATAAGTCATGGAGTGGCGAGGAGCAGAAGCCACAGTTACACTGCAGAACCTCAAAGTGACGAGTTATTATTGCAGCAGCAAGTACTGCAGGCTGAAATCTAATAAACACATCACTTGCATTAGTCATCTTGACAGCTTCTTATACCACAAGCCTCACGACTTCAGCATTTTAATGCATTTATCAGTTACCAGTGATGCATTTCCAACTGTTGTTAAAGTGTTCCATTTTAAGTTAAAGTTTTTTTGGCAAGAGATAATGCCTGCCATGAACAGCTTAAGAATGTAGAGGAATCACACTGAGCAAGAGGTGTGTTATGTTTTAAAATGAATCCCGAGAGTATGTAATGTGAACCTAACAGAAGCACAAGGCATGTATTACCAACTGCTAAAGAAACACGAGCGTGCAGCATTTCAGCGCTTTCCACATCCAGCGAGACATTTTTGCTTTGCAACAGTTTGCCGTACTTCTGATGCAGCCGGTCACAGAAGTATTAATAGAAAACACTTCTACCATTAGTCACTCGCACTCCTCAGGCTGAAGAGCCTACCCTGCAAACACTCGTGCCTTGGGAAGTCGCACTGCTCCCAGCTGCTCACAGGAAACCGAAGCGACCCGGGCTGATCTCCAGCCACCTCCGGCTGCAGCCGAGCAGAGCAGGGCACCCCCGGGGCGGGGTGCCGGCAGCAGCGGCTCCAGCCTCGCCCTCACCCTCCCCGTGCCCAGGGCAGCAGCACAGAGCCCCGGGCGGCAACAGTTGGGGCCGCTCCGAGACCGGGCAGCCGGGCTCTGAGGGGCTTCGTCCCCGCTGGGGGGGCACAAATGAAGCTTTGGGGGGCTTCCTCGCCGCGTCCCGGCGGCGGGCAGGGCTGCGAGGCGGCCGTTAGCGGCCGTTAACGGGCACCTGCGTGAGGGGAGCGGCCGGGCCGGGCCGTGCGCCCCTACTCACCCGCACCAGGTTGCTGACAGCGGCCTGCACGGCCGAGACGGGGGCGGTGAGGTCCGGGATGGCCTTGCCGTCCACCTCGCCCTCCTCGTGCATGATGACCAGGTGGGAGATCTGCTGGGCCACCGGCTCCAGGATGCTCTCGATGGTGCGCGTGTGGAACACGGGCATGGCGGCGGCGGCGGGGCGGCCCCAAGTCCGCACAAACTCCGGCGAAACTCCGGCCCCGCGGGACTGGCACCGCACCGGGAGAGCCGCGGCCTCCGCGGAAGCAGGGAAACGGGGAGGAAATTAAAAGTAAAAAATTAAAAATAAAGAAATAAAATCAACACGGATCCACCCCGAGCTCTCCGCCCCTCCCCGGCGGGCTGCGGACAGCGCGGAGCAGAGCGGAGCGGCGGCTCCCGGCTCGGGCTGGCGGAGGCGGGACTCGAACCCGCCGCCCTCCTGCCTGCCCCTGGCGGCGCCCACCCCGCACTGGCAGGGGGCGGCAGCCAGGCGGCGGCTTTTCAGGCGGCCCCGCGCGCCGCCCCGCCCCCTCGGCCCGCCTCGCCCAATGGCCGCGCCGCCGCCGCCGCCGCCAGTGGTGCAGAGCCGCGTCCGTCAGCATTCCAGCGCCCCCCCCATCCCCTCCCCGCCGCCTATTCCCGGCCAAGCCGCGTTGCGCGCTCGCTGGTTTCCCAGCGCGGGGTGACGTCAGACATTCTGCTGTCCATATAAGGAGACGATTAAAGCCGCTTGGAGAGCAGCGCGGGGGGGGGGGGGCGGAGCGGCGGGATTCCTGCGGGCGCCCGCCCTGGGGCCGATGAGGAGAAGGCGGCGCGCGCCGTGCGCGCTCCCGCTGCCTCAGCCCGTCCTCGTCCCCTGCGCGGGGGGTACCTGAGGGGAGCGCCCCCCCCCCCCACCCACACACACACACACACACACACACACACACGAACGCCCACAAACGCCCACACGGCTCCGCTCGCCGTGCCCGCAGCCCCGCGGCACGCCCCGGGCGCGGTCCCCAGCGCTTCCGCTGCCCTGAGGAGAAGCCCGCGGGGGGTGAGGGGGGAGCCGCGGCAGCGCCGGCACAGCTCGGGTGCGGGGAGCTGCTGCTGCCGCTGTTTGGTCTGTTTAAGGAATTTTTTTTGGTGCCCGCGCTGCTGCTTTAAGCCGTCGAGGAGCGCTGCCGGCAGGCTGGCTGTGGCGCTGGGGGCGGCTGTGGTGCGCTGAGCGCCGGGACGGGGCCGGCCACAGCCCCCTCAGCCCCCGCCGCGCCCGCGGGGCTCCCCTCACGGCGTCCCCCTCACGGCGTCCCGCCCCGCAGCGAGGAGCAGGCCGAGAGCCGGGCACAAGGCGCCTCAGGCAGGGTCAGAAGCCGCAGCAGCACCTGCAGCCCCTTCCTCCGGCGGGCTGGGGGCTGTGGCGCTCACTGAGCCGGCCCTGGTAAGGCTCCTCTGTCACTACCTCCTTCTGGTCCGCACGGTCCCGGTTTGTTCACAGTGTACCTGCAGGCCTGTGACAGATAACCATGTTATGCACTGGCATTTGAGGCATAAAAATACCGGCCTCTCAGCAGTAATGAGTGTATAAAGTCACCATAACCGTATTTCGTGCTGTTGAGCACTGGCCATGTACCAGTGTCCGTACCAGTTACAATATACACGTTCCCAGTAGGGCATCTTAGCATACAATGTGTTGGTAATAACAAATGCCCACAAAAATCCATCTGGATTGTAGTGTGAAGCAGCTAGGAATTACAAAAAGCAATTAGTCTGTGTTATGAACTAATAACCCAACAAATTCCATTTTGTGGAAGTATGCAAACCTTATAAACCACTTCTGCCTTGTGGGGCTAGTATGTGGGCTAAATTCCCCGATTCCGGGCAATTGCTTCAAGTCTTGGACCTTCTACACCGAGTCCTGTCAGAAATATACATGTGCACATGTGTTTTAAAGAATAAAAAAAAAAAAAAAAAAAGTGTTACTTGACAATTTTAAAAGGCTGTCTTGGTGGCTCTGATAGGTATGGTTGCTACAGGTAAAATAAAGGATCAGACAGACAAACATTTCTGTCAGCTTTCTAAAACTTTACTCACCTACAGGGCCAAAATATCTGCTAATGCATTTGGGGGTGAAGTGGTGGTTTTTATTTCAGCATTTGGGTTATGCTAACATATTTTTTTTTCTGTGAAAAAGATCAATTTCTTGCCTGTACTGTGTGACTGTACCACAGATCTGCCACTGAAATTCCATGGCTGCTGTTGGTGTGGCTACTTAATTTTCAAAGCCACATCCAGCAAAATTAACAGCAATGCATGCAGCACTATATATATATATATATATATATTTAAGTACCACCTTACACTGTTTTCTCTTTCCTTTGCAGTATTCAGATCTGTCACATTGATGTCATATACATAACAGCTTGGCAGCAGGTACTGTTTTTATTTTTGTAACCAGATTCTTTTGCCCTTTGCGCTGTTCAGTATCTGTAATTATGCACTAATTATGCTGCTACTGGGTGATTGCTTCTCCAGTTTATGCAGTTCCATTAACTCTACAGATCCGAACGTATGGTTAGAAAATAACAATATATTTGATCACAGTATTTTCCATTTCTTGAGCCCAAGGTATGAATGTATGAAATGTATGAATTATTTTATTTGTCCTACTTCCAAAATGGTGTTATACATCCCACAATGGATTTCCACTGAGAAAAAAGAGATGCAGATCCCCCTTTCCACAACGACAATATTTTAATATTGTTAAGAAGCTGTATCTATTATTAGCAGTATAGGAGTGACAAGCATCCCAAATAAGATAAAGTGGTTAGGCTGAAAGGATTATCTTTTAATACACTCTGTGGCCGTTGCTATTTCATAAGAACTCAGGTGAGTCCAGTTAAACCCAATTCTGCACAAAGCATGGTATCAGCAAACTTTTCTGCCTACAGAAATCTTCACTTTATTTAGGGACACGATATCCCTCTATCCCAGATGATTGGTTAATAAGTTCTGACAACATGGAATTACCTGAATTTGTAGAGACGTTATTGGCGTAATCTTACCCGCATTACTTTTTTTATTTTGCAAAACTGTAGTGAGAATACACAAGTAGAGATAAAAGACTGTTTTGTGGCTTCAGTCAATCTAGAATGGATGCACTGACTGTCTTACCTCTGATTTTAATTAAACTTGAGTCCTAGTGAAGTAAGAAAATAAGAATTCTTGGCCTACACACTGAACATAACAATCACTAAACATCCCTGACAATAATCTACATTCACCAGGTATACATTTTTATTTTCATTACTTAGGCTTAGTTTTTGCTCTGACAATTTGTTCATTTTGCTTTCCACATATTGTGCAAATCCTTTTCCTACATGTAGTGTATTTTTATAATGAAGTGAAGAAATCCTCTCTTTGCTTCCACTGAAGAAAGAGAGATATATGAATAGAGAAGTAACAGACTGGTAGAAAAAGGGACTGCGTGCTGACAAACAGTGTAGCTGCAATGCAGTCTCTTCCACAGTCTGCATCCTGTGGTGGGTGTACATGGCACTGGAAGTACAGCTGGCGGGAACAGTGGAAGCATTTTCAGAGGTTCACGACCTTGCAGTTGTCTGTAATTATAAGGTGTTGTGCTAATACAAATAGCACAAGGCATGGACTTCAGTGAAGTCTATATGCCTGGTTCAGCTGCATGCACTAAACAAATATTATAGTAGTTATTTACAGTATTAGGTACCACAGCAGAGAATGATCAGGTTTTCTAGGCATTTAACTTGTCTGTGGTGAATTGTCTTTCTCTGAAATGACCTGATCTTGTTCCTTGATTTTGCCAGCTTCTAACCTTTCTGAGTTACACCTGGTTAGCTGCTTAATAAAGTGTACAGAAATGCTGTATAAAATGAATGTCATTATTGTCTTGATCATATGAAGGTTTAAGCATACGTCAAAATGTAAGGATTAAAGTCTCATTTTATCACCTTCTGGAGAATTGGAGGCTATTGTTGATCAGCAGACATAGAATGCATTCCGCAATTCACTCTTATCAAGCCATTAACTTTTGGTATTCTAAGGAGTAAACACTGGAATATCTGAAGACTCTGTAAAGACTTTTTTTTTTTCTTTCTGTGTTAATGTCTGCCTTACATATATTTTAAGATTGGTATGGGTTTGTTGTAGAATGGTATTTTGTTATTGATAGCTCTAGCATATTGCTGGCTGGCACAGAAAGAATGCATTTCACACCTAAGAAATGACAACAAAGGAAAAAGAGAGAGCAGATGATTAAGGACAGTGTAAGTTCACCATAATGCTCTGTCAGTGTGCCTTACCTTTATGAGGATGCCATGAGAATAGGTTAGGTTCTGTTTTGTTCTGCGTCTTGGCTGGCTCTGTGCTAGGAACTGCAACAAGACCAACACTATACACTGCTTTTTGGTCACTTAACAAAAATACCAATCTCTTAATGAGATATATGGGAGCAGCCTATCTAGGACTGAAAAAATGAAATCACAATTGCTAGCCATAGCCTGAACACTATATTTATTTCATCACACAACACTGCTTGGTTCCTAGCTGCCCTTCTGTAGGTGTGTTGTGTTGATAAAACATAGCAGGGCTGAGATCTGCAGAGAATGCTGCTACCAATTCACTGCTTCCTTCAAGGAGTTTCTTGCTAGAAGGTATACACAGCTATGTAGCATCTGCTGGGAAGCCAAGAGTGCAAATGTAGTTTAGCTTGTTATCTGTGAGTTACAGTGCCAACTGCTCTGAGCCCAAAACATTTTATTAACCACACTACATTCTTAAGGGTTTATCTTGAAGTATCACAACAATTGTAACAACACAATTCAAAGAATGTTTTTTGAGAATAGAAAAGTTGTAGAAAAGAAAGATAAGCATATTTAATGTATGTGTATATATTTCTGTGTATATGAATGCTTATTCTAGAAATTGCTAATGAGTTTCAAAGAGCAAGTTTTCCTACTTTTCTTCTGAAAAAAATCCAGACAGGAATATATTTGCACGTACCTCTATATATGTGAAGCACATATGACAGATTATGTGTAGTTAAAATTACAGTCTATTCACAGTAAATGCAAGCAAAATATATTTCTGCTCTTGTGGCAGCATTACTACAAACCTACAATAGACTTTGATTTTCAGAAGGCAACAGGTAATTTTCAGGAGCTTGACTCTGTGATTAGGTAAATGAGTACCACTAAAAGAAAAAGTTGAAGCCAAAATACTGGCCCTATCCATCTTATCAAGTATCATGCTTAATATGGCAGTGTTCTTTTAAAAACAATTTTTACACCACGAGAGATGTATATTTTTGTTCTGAGTATATGTGTTCTGCCTCAGAGTCTGTCAATATAAATGACTTGCTTGTAAACAATCGAACTGCTTTGTTGACAGTAGGTGGGCATTTCAACAGTCATTTTACCACTAATAATTTTAGTAAATATTTATGGTCATGTCTACACATGGACACAGGAA